AGGCACACGGCAAGAGTTAAGACAAGAAGTCGATGTGAGCTTTGTACAGCGAGGAGCAGCTCCCGGCCGGAGTGTCCGAGGACTCGGGACGACCAAAATGCCACAGTGATCGGGTGGGGCTGGGAGCAGGGGCTGGGCACCAGGGCGAGGGGGGAGCCCGGCACCTATCGGCGGGTCGGCGGTAATGGTTGGGAGCGTCTGCAAACATGTACTTGAGTCTGTAGGCTTCAGCAAGCAGGAGTCCAATCTCCTCGTTACCCCAGTGTATCGTGGGCAGGTTTTGTAACAACATCAGAAGGCCCTGGAAGAAGGGAAGGGGCTCAGGGTGGGGTGGCCGAAGGCTGAGTTCAGCTCTGGAGCAGGCTCGGGGCTGGCACAACCAGAGGCAGCAGCTCAGGAACTCCTGCTCCCCACACTCACAGGTCTGAAGGGCTCAGAGGCAGATTTAAGACATGCTCGTGTCTAGATCCAAATGGGTGAAGCACCTCAGATGCCCCCCAAATCCCCTGAGATAAAGGGTACTACCATTGTGTTAGAGCTGGACACCGTAAGGCATCCACCACGGGACACAGCACAAACAAAGCCTGAGCCAGGGCAGGAGCTGGGGTTTGATGTTTGAACCCTCCAACAGTCTCTGTCCTGAGCACTGAGGCTCAGAAGTTACTTATAAGCAAAGAGCCTGAGATCTTGGAGCCAACTCTGTGTCCACACTGGGCTCCTAAGCAGAATAATTCCGTGCCCCCTGCCCGCAGGGAACCACCCCCAGCCCCAGGGACTTGCCTGGAAATCTTCCTCATCCAGGATCTCCTTCCGCCACTTGATGAGGAAGGCGGCGCAGACGTACAGGTGGAAGTGGGAGAATCCTTCTGGCTCTGACTGTGGGCAGCAAAACCCTGGCTCAGCTCCTGCTGCTCACCCAGGGCACCAGCTTCCCCAGACACAGACGTCCTGCTGGGCCACCCAGCTGGCCACGTTGCTCTGCTTCCCTCCCCAGAAGCAGCCCCGTGCCCCCATCTCCAGGCAGCTGCCCCCAGCAGAGCCTGGCAAGAGGCGTGTACCTGGTAGGTGTCCCAGAGGCGGATGGTGCAGCGCAGAGGCAGCTCCCTCATCAGCAGGTTGTTCATCCAGCGGAAGGCAAACTGCAGGTATTCGACCTCGTACTTCCTAAAGTGGTTATGTACCTGCTCTGAAACAGCACCTTCCACTTACACACCTGGGGACCACGGTGCCCCAGCTCCCACCTGTGGCCCTGTCCCCACCACGCCGTCCTTTCAGGCTGAGAGGTCATCTCCCCAGGGCGTCCACCCCTCACCTTGTACCTGGAGGTTTCTGGCTGCCCCTACCCTGCCCTGCTTCCATATGTGTCAGAGAATCCCAGCCTGGTTTGGGTGGGCAGGGACCTTTCAAGCTCATTGAGTCCAACCCCCTGCCCTGTGCTCAGAGCCCTGGCCAACCTCCCCTGGGATGGTTCCAGGGTGCTGGAGGGAAGCACCTACCCCTGCCCTGAGGGTGCTACCTGCACAGGAGGCCTCCTGCTGTTGTGCCTGCTCAGATCCCCTCGTCACCTACCATCGATCCGGCTGACGAGCTCCTCCAGGGCCTTGACTTTCTTCTGGATCCCTGGCTGTGCAAAGGTGTAGTTGTCCTGTGGGGAGAGGCCGGGAGTCAGAAGCAGCAGCTCTGACCACAGCTAGAAATAACCAAAACCAGATCCCCAGCCCACGGGGAGCTGAGCTCACCACGAGCCACAGAGACACAGCTCTTGAGGACCAGGAGGACAC